TGACGATGGGGACGCAACCGCTATCCCGGCTGGGGATCCGCCTATCATCGACTTGGAGGGGGTCGACCCCGAGGTTGCCGAGAAAGATACTTCCGAGGCAGTCACCGGCACCGCTCCTGAGCCCGAGGTCGGTCCGTGAGGCTGACTTACCGCCTACGTGTTGTTTTGGTCGTGTGTGGCCTTTCTTAAAAACTATTTGGTCTTTTTTTATTTCCGAATGCTTTCCTTTTTATTTTTGTGTGTTTTTTAAGCGCACTTGGAAGTATTTTGTTTTTGCCAATCGTAGCTTTTCGGAAGGGTTTGGTATTTTGATTATTTCGTCTTTATTTTTCTCTTTTACTGAGCTTTTCCGAGTTCATTAATTACGAGACCGAGCTCATGGTCGAACTCGGCGCTGATTCATTACTTGGCCGAGCCTCGAGATCGGACTCGACACTATTAATTACGGGGCCGAGCTCGTGGTCGAGCTCGGTGCTGATTCATTACTTGGCCGAGCCTCGTGATCGGGCTCGGCACTATTAATTACGGGGCCGAGCTCGTGGTCGAGCTCGGCGCTGATTCATTACTTGGCCGAGCCTCGTGATCGGGCTCGGCACTATTAGTTACAAGGCCGAGCTCGTGGTCGAGCTCGGCGCTGATTCATTACTTGGCCGCATTACCTGTCCGAACTGCTCGCTGAGTCGGTTTGTGGTTTGGGCCAGTCGAACTACGGGCTTGAGCTCGTTTTTCATTCCTTACAGTTGGCAGCTTCGGCCTCACCGAGCTACTTTGCCGAGCCCGGCTTGTGCCAGCCAGGCCATCGCACTGACCCGACCGACACATAATTATGTGGCAGCTTACCAAACCGGTCTCGCGTTCGGACTCGGTGGTATTGTAGGCCTGACCGGGCTTCCTAGTTGACCGGCTAGTGCCGACCGAGCCATCGTACTAGTCCCAACCGACACTTCGTTCCTTACGTTTAATTACGCCCCTTCGACTCGATCTATGCTAAAACCTCCCGCCTTATCAGAAATAATAATCAAAAATTACATTTTCTTCACAAAACGTAGTAAGATAATTACAAGGGATCCCCTAGACCTATTGGTAGAACTTCTTCAGGAATGCCGAGTTCCATGGGTATTGGTGGGGGATGCCGTCGAGGTGTTCGAGGCGGCAGGCCCATGTGGGAGTACTTCGCTAATCTTGTACGGCCCTTCCCACTTTGGCTTGAGGGGCCCAGGGTCAGGCCCCGTCACCCTTTTGAGTACCAAGTCACCGACCTGATATGAGCGTGGTTTGACTCGGGAGTTAATATATCTCTCGCTTCGCCTCTTGTATGCCGCGTTCTTAAGTTCGGCACCTGTTCGGTGTTCGTCAATTAAGTCCAAGTTGGCTCTTAGCGTTGGATTTTTCCTCGAAGTTAATTACCCAGAATGTCGGGGCGCCGAGCTCGACTGGTATCATCGCCTCAGGCCCGTATGCTAAGGAAAATGGTGTTTCGTCGGTTGACGACCTGGCAGTGGTGCGATAGGCCCAAAGTACATTCGGGAGTTCTTCCGGCCAGCCTCCTTTTGCAGCTTCAAGTCAGACCTTGAGGCCCTGCTTGATGATCTTGTTCACGGCTTCGACTTGATCGTTCGATTGTGGATGGTAAGGAGTCGAGAAGAAGTGTTTGATGTTATATTCCTCACAAAATGTTCCTAACTTTTTCCCTTCAAATTGTTTGCCGTTGTCGGTGATTATCGAGTTCGGGACCCCGAATATGCATATGATGGACTTCCACAGGAAATCTATCATCTTCTATTCGGTTATGGTAGCGAGTGGCTCGGCCTCCGCCCATTTCGTGAAGTAGCCAACAGCGACAACGACATACTTTACTCCGCCTTTTCCGGTGGGTAGGGGGCCGATCAGGTCGACGCCCCATTTAGCGAATGGCCATGGACTGGAAATTGACTTCAGGGGCTGAGACGGTTGAACGATGTTAGGTGCGAAGGTCTGGCACTTTGTGCATCTCCGGGCCAGATCCAAGGCGTCCTTTTTCAGACTCGGCCAATAATAACCCTGCCTGAGGACCTTATGAGCGAGGGCGTATCCTCCGGAGTGGTTCCCACATACGCCTTCATGGATTTCCTTAAGTATGAGCTCGGCACTCTTTTCGCCTACGCACTTGAGTAGGGGTGCCGAGTAACCCCGTTTGAATAGTTCACCGGCCATGATCGTAAATCGAGCTGCCCGGGTACGAAACTGTCTGGCCTCTTTCGGGTCAGACGGCAGCACACCGGTCTCAAGATACAACTGGATCGGGACCATTCAGTCCGGGTCTTGGTCTTCTCCTCCCTGCCCGGCACTTAACACAGAGGTGCCGAGTACGGAAGGCTATTCCTTGTGTCCTACTTGAACGTACTCGACGCTTTCCACCCCGGCACTTGAGGCGAGGCGAGCCAAGGCATCGGCCTGCACGTTCTCTGTCCGT